TTTTTTTTTTTTTTTTTTTTTTTTTTTACAGAAATATTCAGTGCTGCAGCAATAGATAGCTGCCTTCAAAAAGCTGAATTTGCAAGAACTTGAACTTTTCCCATTTAAGATAATAACACAGGAAATCAACAAAATGTCTACAGAAGAATGGAAAATAATAAATGGATTTGTTTTATGAGACTTTGCTTTTTAAGATAATAATGCTTTAACATTATAAGTACAAAGAACTCATTATATGTGTTAAAAAAATTATAACAGTTCTAAAAAAAACAATGATGGAAATGAAATCATTTAGAAAAACCAAAATTGTGTTTTTTTAGAATTATGAGAGAAGATAATTACTCTTGAAGGTCTTAATTTTGAAAAATTTCTACAGCAAGAGTCAGAATGATTACACAGGGTGTTTACACATTTTTAGCATGATTTCAATAAACAATTTAATTTTTTTGGAGGGGGGGGATATAAATTTCTAGCAATAGCTTATTATTTAAAGTGTGAAATACTGTCTGCTACTTTTAAAGGTTATCTTCCAAAGATATTCTTTTTCCATAGTTAAAAAATATAAAATGCATGTTATTAAAATTTCTAAGTGCAAAATAAACATCAGTATTTATTGAAAGGGAATAATCATGAATCGTTTTATTTTTACATGAAAAGAAGATTCCAAATGTAAACCTGAAAAGGGTATGTACTGTTTCTAAAGTTAAAATAATGGTAACAGTCGAAAATCCACCAACTTATTAATCAATCGCAAAATATTTAAATACATCAGTAGAAACAATAAATTAAATAATAAAACAAGATTTATAACTTAAAAAAGCTATAAAACATAACATTCAGCAACTTTTTCACCAAGGCATGTGGTTCCACACAGAACAATTTGTCAACCCAGTACAAAATTATTTAGCAAAAGATAAATGGAATTAATTGCATTGTGGACCTTGATGATGCATGGGTTTATGTAAATAACAAAAATTAAAAAGGGACGGTCTATTTATTATCGAAAGCTACAGAAAACATTCACAAAACTGCTTCTGTCAATGAAAAGAAAGTATCAGTAAGAAGTATATGATTGTCACTTAATTCTCTCACACAGGGAAATTAAAAATAAGAAGCATGAAAAAAAGTGTTACGATAAAGTACTATCAAAAAAATGTTTTACAGAAGAAATTCATTTGACATTCTACATTGACTTGCAAAGATTGAAACTTCATCTAAACAAAAGTACAAGTCATACTTCACAAAATACCACTGCATTTCTTGAAAAAATTAAGACTAATACAAGTACTACGTATATATAATGTTTTAACAAGTTTCCTGCCACTGCAAATATTGTCTGTGCAAACAGTTCGCGTTGGCATGTTTAATCATATTTTGTCAAACAATTTTTGACATTTGAAAGAAAGTGGCTTGCTTTATAACACTGTGTTGTGAAATTTATATATTAAAAAATTATTAATTTATATATTAAAAATATCATTATCATTAAGTACAAGGTTTCTGAAATGGAACTACATGCTACGAGACTAGAACCATCATTTACTTCCAGTTTTGTTGCAAAATGTCACTAAATCATGTGTAGTAATGTATGTTTATTTTAGGTAGTAATGTTGTATTACATGACACTGTGAAGGTTTGGTACTGAAAGTTCAAAAACAAGGACTATGACAGGGGCTATATGGTGGGTATGGCAAAAGATCCCATTCAAGTCCGTACAAAGTCCACCTGGTGGATGCAGACACATATGGTCTTGCTTTATCTTGATGGAACATTACCATTTTGCACCGCAATCCAAGTGGACGTTTTCCCTTCATACCAGCATGATCACGGACTAGCATCTTGCTTGATATTTGCCATTTAAAAGAAAGAGGTTTGCTTTAGAACTCTGTGTTATGAAATTTCTAAAACAAATATCATTATCATTAACTATAAAGTGACTGAAATGGAACTATCATGCTACCAGATTAGAACCATCATTTACGTCCGAAATGACGTTGATGTGTTTTTGGATTCGTGGCCACCAAGTTTCTGGGCCGAAGGCTTTTAGAAACTACCAAAACATTGGTAACAAACCATTGGTAAACAAACCATAGATTTGGGTGGTGATTACTATCCACATTAAAGGTGCTGCTTTCATGTCACCCCCCCAACTTTATTAAGAAAGTTCTTTTGCGGAAATCTTTTGTTACAACCAGATACTTTTTCAACATATTCCAAGTCTCCTGATGTTTCATCTATGGACTATTGTTACTCTGGTCTCTTGAAAAGAGCTTTTTCTAAGCGCAAACCCACCACAATTGATGGACTCTGTAAAGAGTGGAAGAGGAATGGAAGTCAATATCCCTGGAAATTTTAAGAAAAGCCATTTATCATGGAAATCACAATACAGACTTAGTCCAGATAAAAGGCTTTTAGATCGAGCATTTTAAAACACACTCTTTGGATTTTAAACATGAATTAAATAGCCTCGAAATCATTCTAAAAATGTTTACATACCCTCTATACATGTTTCAAGTTAATGTATTGTGTTAGTATATATTTTAAAGAGAAGAAGTAAATAATATATTAAACTAAATAAATACAACAACAATTATAAACTTCTTTTTCTCCCTTCCATCTCGAATAAGAGTCACATGCCAAAGCTCATGTCATCATCCACAGGGTTCATAACCACATTTTAGTTAAAAAAATAAGCACATTTTAAGAAAAAAAATAACACCTGTCTAATTACATCATACACAACTGCATAACCTTAAAAATTAAAATTGTAATTTAAAATATGAGAAATGAAGTACTTATTAAGAAAAATAAGCATTACCTTAACCATGGAAAATTATTTTTTTTTTTTTTTTTTTTTTTTTTTTTTTTTTTTTTTTTTTTAATTTTAAATAATAGTTCAATTTACAGAACTAGTTTACAATGAGAGAAAAAAAAAAAAAAAAAACTTTGAAGAAAACTAAACTATATTACAAGATTTAATGATGAAATTTCAGTTCAAAATAGAGAAAATAAGTAATAATAAGGCAATATTTATTGTATTCATTTGGAACATAATAATAAATACAATTTATTTTTCCACTAATATTTATATTTAAATAATTTAAATCTAAATTCTGAACATTTTCTAAATTTTCATTGTATATCAGTTTTCTCTTAACAGAAATTGCAAGCAAAGTAATTTAAGTAAAAAAGAGGAACATTTCTGAAGAAATTTGCTTCATGCAACCATCTTTAACAGTATAAGCTTAACTAACCCGCATACTTGGAATTGGTGAATATTTGGACAGTCGAGCGTAACTTGAAGGAGCGGAAGGGGGTGGGTAGACTGTAGCCGCTCTTTAGATTTTTCCGCTAATAAATGCTTTTGACATTTCAATATGTGCATCATATAAAAATAGGCCAACGGAACTAAAAAATATTCTGCTTAGCAAGCACAGTAAAACTCTTTCAGTTAGTAAGTGTTCATAAACAAATCTCGGACTGAACATCAAAATTAATTATCTCTGCAAAATATTGCAAACGTTATTGCACAATACATGCGCCGTAATTCTTCCCTAGTGATATTACGCAATCGGAATCAACAACTGCCGTTATTGTGAGAATAAAGAACTAAATAAAGGAAGAGACTACTACTGGGAGTGTTTTTCATTCTAATTTTCAACAGACGGCATTAAATTTCCGGAATAGAATCAAGATCTTCGCTTGGGTTGGTAGACCACAGAACTTTTAGTCCTATTCAATCCAGATTGGAAAGTGACCAAAAAAAAGAAAAAAAAAAAAAAAAAAAATAAAAGTCTTGCTTGTTTTGCAGCGAACTGTAACAGTTTCAATATTCAAGATTTTGCGGAGAAAGGGGAAAACCTCCCAACCTTCCGTACTATATTAATGTATAGTTGGCCAAAAAAGAAAAAAAAAATTATTTTCACTATTCGATTACTTTCCCTTTTATTTAAGCCATTCCGAATATTATTCCTTAGAAAGCTAATCTGTGTTAAAACACAACCATTTTTGGAAGTTTACTATACTTCAGCAGTTACTGCAACTATGTTATTATAAACATTCATACATATGCTCATAATATAAGCATAACGATCATAATAAACACGAATATGAACTGACCAAGCAGAAGGAGAATGCAAATTTTTAAGATCTTGATAGAAATTCAAACGTGTGTAGTATTTGGGTGGGTGGAAAAGAATGCCGAATGTAGCGGAATTTTCTACTGCTTTCGCAATTCTTTGACCAATAGAATGACGGGCACCTGTCTGTACTCTTCGTGCACACCAAAGGTTAATGCAGAGAAAGGGGGAAAAGCTATTTCCGGGAGTATGACTCACCATCTGAAATTCCATATTAGGAAGAAAAGTTGTTTATTTAGTTTCGGCTTTGGTACGGGGAAAAATAGCACGTTCGTTAAAAAAAAAAAAGCACTAAAAGCAAAAAAAAAAAAAAAAATAAGCACTAAAAACAAAAAAAAATAAGGACTTTAAAGAAAAAGTAAGCACCTATAAGGGCCTTTATATTTTGTTTTCAAATATAAGGAACTATAAGCACTTGTAAGGACCAAGCTACTGTTGCAACATAGACCAATAAGTCTGTGACTGGAAAGATTTGATTTTAATGCAGCATAATTTTTGCTGACTAAGGCAAAGGGGAGGAAATGAATCCTTAACCCTCTAAGCGGCAAGGCTGTATATATACGGCCTAGAATATTTTTTGTGATATCCGTAAGAATGTATATATACGTGCATATTAAAATATGTCAAAGAAATTAACGAAATATATCAAAAGAAAACAAATCCAGGTATGAAATACCAGAAGAATTTTTACACTAAAATCAAAAAAATAATTTGTTCTCATAGTAATCTTGGGAAATTTGTGCTTTCTTAGTGAAAACCCTGGCCGCTCAGAGGGTTAAAATAAGAAATATCCAGAAAAAATAACACAGAAAAATTTATGGTTGCATTAATGTAGAAGGGCTGTTTTGAAACAAGGAGTAGTCTGAGATAATAATGTTATATTTCAGTTTGTAGACTTGGCTTTCCAGTGGCACTTCCTTAAGACATAAATATCATCATATGATGTGATCAAATGTATAACATACTTTTTACTCATCCTGTAGTATAGAATTTGCTATATTTAAGACACAGAACACATAGAGTAATGATGCAAAACACATGTTTTAAAACTCAGGTATATTTGTGTCTGAGCTGAAGATGTAAATATTACTATTCATAATAAATTACAATCAAATAATTAACTATAAGTAATGCATCTTTTGGCTGTATAATAATTACAATCAAAATATCTTCAAATATAAAATATTATGCCTTCTTACCCCCCTCCCAAGATAATTAGTAGCATCATTTTTTAGTTACTTGTTTTGTGTTCTTAAACTATATCCTACAAAAACCTTCTCCATCTGAATGTAGAATTATGACAATTGAATTCCATATAAAATTTACAATTAAGGTTTCATTGAATGTGTAAACTACACAAAATATACAAATATAATTAATTATTTACCATCTCTACTAAATGCGAAGATGATTAATAATTTTTTCAGCTGGCTCAGCTATAATTAAAACAAATATAATATTTTAAAAAATAAATTTTGAGTATTCAAAAAAAAATAATAAAAAAACAACAAATTACATACATCCATGCAACTTTTAACATAAAAAGTATCTAAAAAAAAAAAAAAAAAAAAAAAGAACACAACAGAACTTTAAAAAATGTAACAGCATATTACAAGAACTACGATTTTACTTATCATAAAAACAAAAATATTTAGTAAAACAATTTACATGCATATATTGCTATTATTTTCATAAAAAAATAACGATTATAGTAGTTCCTTAGATCACATTAGAAAGACACTGCTTTCTGTTTATATGGCATAAATTGCACTACCTAATAGTGAATTTTGTGAAATTATCAGGCAGACTAGTTTAGTTTCATGAATCTTTTAAAATCCGTTTCATGATAGATATAGAAGAACTTCTGTATCCTCCTCCAAAATGGTTCCTTTAAGACAAAAATAAATAAATAATAAAAATTATTTTAGTTACATACAAAAATTCAATTTAAAAAATTATATACTGAAAATATTTCTTTTGTTTTATTTTGAAAAATTATAACTATATATTTTTCAAAATCAGATGAAAATTATCTTCAGAGGAAACTAAAAAATACATAAATATATTATATATTATCATCTTGCTAAATTAAGATGACAAAACCCTACAGAAAACTACAAAATTTTGCAGTTTATTGTTTTTGTTGCAAATTTTTCAAAAAATTAAATTATTTTCTGTTCATTTTTTAACTATTTTTTAATGCATAACTAAACTTACTTCTTTCCTCAACTTGAACAAAAAACAAACATGTCCTGAAGAAATAGATAAATATTTAATGAACAGGAATGCATATATAAAGGGTGGCCAAACTTAATTAAAGTAGGAGCCACATGTTAGAATTCAGGAAATTTTGCCAAAGAAAATTAATTCATTCATGGGCCATAGATGATTGCTTATTTCAGCTTTACAACAAGACTTTGCACGTAAGTTCATATCCCAAAACTGATTAAAAATGATTATACGTAGAAAAAAAATAAACATAATATAACATATAAATGAAAACTTAATTTTCTATATGTATACAAAGGAGACAGCATAACTAGAAATTGATGAAAAAGATACTATTGTTTCTACGCAAAATTTCCTTCATAGAAACATCAAGTAACTGTCTTTAGTTACAATCTTCTTTTACCTTTTATTTGATTGATATTCACTAGGCCTCAGTTTCACAAAAAATTCCTCCAACATGATTTATTGTTGCTTATGTTTTAAAATGATGAGTGAAGTAAAAGTGAAGCATGGCATTGTCATTGATAATGGCGCTGCTGCAGCTTGCTTCTGGGTGATATCATTATTTGAAAAATTTGCATAAACTACTTTGTGTCTTCACTGTTAACTACTTAGCCCATTATTTTGCATTAAGAAACAACATCACAGATCACAAATAAGTCCTGATCCGAGGTTCCACTGTATAAATAAGAACTTACTTCACTTGCTCTACATTTAGAAAAGTTTGTTTCTTGATTATATAAATTTGCATGATGTAACAGAACACCATTTGTTCAGACAAAAAAACTAAGCACTTTCTTCAAATTTCCTTTCCCCCTACCCCTGTAATTGTTGAATTACAAACAGGACTGTATTACAAACAATTTTGAAAATAATTGTTGTTTTACCAGAATTAAACTGAAATCGAAAGAAGGAAATAATGATTTTTGCAAGCAAAAATATAAAATGCTTTTCTTTCAAGTGAAGAATAAAGGATTAATTAAAACAAAAAAGATTCAGTGATTTTTCTTTATTTTTAACTCATACTCTGGAAAGAATAAAATAAATGAAACGGGACACACATGTTGTGAAGAAACTGTTGTACGAGAAAAGTTAGTTAATTTAGTTGAAAACAACAAAGCACATGAGTACTATCTGCTTTACAAGGATATGCCTCCATAAAGGATCTTGTAACAGAAAGTATATAAACCATACACCGTATTTGATGGCATATACGATGCACCCTTATTTAGAAGGCCACACAAGGAAAAAAAATTTTAATAGTCCGTGCGACAGCGCGGTACCACATTAACTTAAAATGTGGTTCCTTTTAGTTCTTATGTTTCGTAAAAGCCAAATAAACAATTATTGAATGCAATTACCAAATATATTTTTATTAAGGAAAATTAACAAATGGCAAGCTATTTTGAACACAATATGTAAATTTCAATAATGAATAAATGAATGAACGGCAAGCAATCAAACATAATACAAAATAAAGCACAAACAACAAAAAACACAGATTCAAGGAAAACGTTACCTATCATGAAATTAGACTTTAATCACTTTCAAAACCATAAAAATCCTTTTCACTATCATCATCATCGAAAATGAGAATATCGTCATCACTACTGTTTCCGTTATCGCTAGTATCACTTCCTTCGAATAATGCATTGTCTTCTGTTCCATCAAGAGCATTACTGATTCCGCACTTCTTAAAGGACTTAACAATTACTTCAGCCTTTACGTCCTCCCAAGATCTGTTTACCCATTCACACACTTGTGAAATAGAGGGGCGCTTCATTCTACCTGAAGGTGTGAGGGCGTGATGTGGCTCTCCTATCCACTTGTTCCATCGTTCTTGCACTTTTTTCTTAAATGGCTTATTTACCGATACATATAAAGGCTGCAATTGGCTAGTCAGTCCAACAGGAATGACAGCTATATGGGTTTTTAATTCTCTCGTTTTATTCTTTACGGTTTCAGTTCTATGGGCACTAAACTGATCCAAACCAAAAGAGACGGTTTTCTTAAGAGTCCACCTGGTCGCCTGGCCCATACGTTCTGTAACCACAGTTTCATGCCAGCTTCGTCCATCCAGCCTTTCGGACGAGTTTTTCTTCTGAATATGAAAAACGGCGGTAGTTTTGTGCCATCAGCACAACATGTTAGAACTACCATATATCGGGTTTTTTCCTGACCTGTGGTTTTTACGGTTATTGATTTAGACCCTTTAATACTCAGTCTTGTTGGATGGTACATCAAATGTGAGTGGAATTTCATCCATATTTCCTATTTGACCGAGCTCAAAAGAAGTTTTTCTTGGTGCATTTATAACAAACCTATGAAATGCTAGTATTTTTCTTCATAATCTGCTGGCATTTTTTGTGCCATAGTTGTTTTTGTGCACATTGATAAGCCTTGCCTTTTCATGAACCTGTAGCACCAGCCCTCAGACCCTGAAAAGTTCTGATTCCCATGTTTTTCTGCAAATCCTTTGGCCTCATTGATTATCATTTTGGTTTAAACATTTATCCCAGATTTCCTCTTATCTATCACCCACATTTTTACGGCATTTTCAAGTTCAGGCCAAGATGGAGCTGGGCATTGAAGGTTATGTTTTTGTTTTTTAGCAGTCTTCAGTTGATCTTCCTGCATTTGTCAAGTACGTATCATTTTTTCGGTAGGTGGTGGACCGAAATGCCTTGCTGCTGCTCTGTTTCCATGCACTTCGGCATAGTTCAACAGTCCTAGTTTATACTGAATTGTAGAGCTTAATCTCTTGTTTCCTGTAGTCATATTTTCCAGTGTATTTTTTTTAAACAAATAGTTTCAAGCACCGATGCCGACACGTTTATACAGAGTAGCACAGACACAGAGAGGACATAGAGAAGTGTAAGAGATTGTTAAAAGAGCTATTATGTAACTCAAACAAATCTGTAAATATTTGTAAATATATTTGGCTTCATAAAGTACAATTAGAATAAAATAAGCATGTTTATTTAGTGCAACATGGCATCAAACAAACCACCGATGCTGAGTCAAGAAATTAAGCTTTTACAAGGTATTTCTGGTGACATCCGGCCAATGAGGTGAGTGATACAATTTCTAGTTGCATACTATTTATTTTTGCAAATTAAAATGAGTCTCGAAGAAACAGTTGAACAACATATAAAAATTAGATGGTTCGAACCAGCATCACAAAACTAATTAAGAAAATTTAAGATGAATTATAAAATGAAAATCCAAATGTAGAATTGTTGCAAGAATCACTTTCAGTGTTAATCGAGAGAGAAACTAGTTTATTAAAATATGATGAAGTTATTAATGCTCAAAGCACTCTGCAAGAATTAGAAACAGAAGTAGAACATTCTTTCGAATAAGCGGTTGGAAAAACTGAAACAACACCACAAGTTTCTGAAATCGAAACTAATTATAATACTAAATCACTTTGTATTACTTTAGAAACCTTTAATGGTGATTTATGTAAATTTACTGAATTTTGGGCTCAGTATAAAGGTGCCATTCACGAAAACAATACAATTCAAAATGTTGGAAAATTTAACAATTTAAGATCTTTACGCACCGGTTCAGCTGCAAAAACTACAAGCAGATTACCATTAACAGGTGGAAAATATAAAAAAGCCATCAAAATTTTAACTGACATATTAAAAAAAAAAAAAAGAAAGAAAGAAAGAAAGAAAGAAACATTAGTTAGCATACATATGAATGTTCTCTTATCTTTGGAGCCTTTTTGTCGTTCAGGTGATGTATCCAGTTTAGAAAATTATATTATGAAATAACGGTTCAAACTAGAAGTTTAGAAACCATAGATATTAATTCTTATGGAAATCTACTACTTCCTTTTTTATATAAGTGCAAATCCCAGGATTTAGTGTTACAGTTTAGTAGAGAACAAAATTCCGGCAAAGAGTCAATGGTGTCAGTTTTATTGTCGTTTCTATAGAAAGAAGTAGAAGCATGCGAAAAGTCCTTAACTCTGGGTCTTAACCAACAAACTCAAGTTCGAACGGTATTTAATTGCAGCAGTTTTGAAAGAGGAAAGCTATCATCAAATGGCTGCTCAGAAAATGTCCCAAACTTAAATCCGAATATTTTGGATATCATTCTTGCTTTTCAAAAATTCAAAATTGGATTCTGCGGTGACATAAAAAAGGTATTTTTGATGATTGGGATAGCAAAGGAAGAGAGACAATATTTAAAATTTTAATGTTATCCTGATAATAACAATGAGAACTTTAAAATTATGCAAATGAACAAAATATTATTTGGATGTAATTGTTCACCGTTTTTATTGAATGGGACGATCAAATATCATTTAAAGAAATAATCAGAAAAAAACTAAAACTGTGTCAAGATGTTAAATAGCTCATTGTATGCAGATGATTTGTGTTATGGAGGGGAAAGTGTAGAATCAGCTTTCAGTCTTTTATCAGAAGCGGTATCTATTTTGGGACACGCAAATTTTAATTTGAAAAAAGTAAATGCTATTTCTAAAGAGCTGCCTGATATCAGAATATGTGAAGAAAGTAGGCTTGAAAGAGATAGTAAATTGAAAGTGTTAGCCCTGCTGTGGAACTTGGAAGAGGATGTTTTGAGCGTTGGCATTACATCCCAAGTAGCCAAGTAGCACACGACATTCCAAACTGGTCCGAGAGG